AAAACAAAACAAAATTCGAACAAGCCAAACACTTATCCGCAGGGAATCTTAACAGTGGTATGGATATTCCTCGATCATTGGTCTGTCGAGCAATGCAAATGACAAAAGAAAAAAAAAAAAAAAAAAAAAAAAAAAACCAATTTATTCAGTACGGTCACCGTGCTTAATCAAATTGATAGACTTCGATGATGATGTACTTGATCGGCTTCCTACATCCGTTGCCGACACCCTAATCAATCAGCCCGGCATCCTTTTCACACTCTCAGACAATGTTTCATGATCTTTTTGTACACCTGAACACTCTCCAGCAGCTCAGATATGCCAACTTGCTCATCCTTCCCATGAGCTAACAGAATAGATCCCGGTCCGTAAAGATATTTCTTATGGTCACCCTTGAGGCGTGGCGCGTCTGTCCCAAAAGCCACAGCCATTGTCCCCAACCCCGGCACGTCGTGGTCCAAGTACAACTCTGGATACAAGAATTTCTTCTCCAGACGAATGTGCTCATGCTTAGACACAGCCTTCTCTACCAATCGCTCAACCTGAGGCAAGTCACTAGCCACGCGAACCGCGCAAAGCGCCGTACATTCTGCAGCCAGGATATTGTATCCCACGCCTCCGCTTATCTGCCCACAGTGAAATGTAGATGGCCCAATAATCTCAGACGAAGGAAACTGAATCTGTTCCAAGTCCGTCAGAAGAGAGATCATGTTTGTAATCGCACTACGTCCACGGTGCGGATAGCCCGAGTGCGAAGGGATCCCCTCGCACACGAGCTCAAAAACGAAGTGGCCCTTATGGCCGACTGCGAGTTTGCCTTCGGTCGGCTCACCGAATATCACAGCATCCCAAGTCAAGCCCATCGAGTTAGCAGCAAGCATTCCCGGTCCACCTTTTTCCTCACCAACGACAAAAAGGAGAGATGCATCATCCGGCTGAACGAGGTTTTCTCTCCGTAACTCTTCCAGGGCGATGATTTGAGCAGCAAGTGGGCCTTTATCATCGCATGCGCCGCGTCCATAGATAGTGTCTGTAGTCTCATGGAGTGGGATATGCGGGGGAACAGTGTCCATATGTGATGTTAGACAGACTCGTGTCTTGCGCGATGACCCGATGTAGGCGTAGACGTTGCATCGAGTACTCTCCGGGCTAATGGGAATACGCTCGACGGTATAGCCCAGTGATTGGAGGTATTGCTCTAGGAATATACCGATGGCATTTTCTTCTTCGCTCGTAGATGGGATCTCCATCAATTGTTTGAGTAGAGTGACCACGGATTGGTTCTCCATTATTGCGGGATGGGAAAAGCAGGTGCTGTACAGAAAAAAAAAAAAAAAAAAAAAAAAAGGATCCGATTTAATCGAGTGTATTGAAGTTGTAATGAAAGTCAAAGGCAGTTTTTCTCGTGTCGTCTGGAAAACCCAGTTAACTGATAAACTACTATTTATCAGGGACGATCTATGTATGTTGATTGACTCGGGTCAAGCCCCCCGACTGCCGGTTTGGCACGGGTGATTTCATTCCGAATTTTGATATCGCGATATCTCTTATCCTTGAACAGGAGCTATCATTTCTCGCTGATAGATATCAGTATCTGACGGAGTAAAGGTTCTAAACTATTGTGCCCCGAACAGAAACTCATCACCCAATTCGCAAGCCAAGTCCCTCAGAGATTGGTCCTCGGGAACCGTCCCGTCAGCCCGAACGAACGCCTTATCCGCAAGGAAACTATCTATGACTGGATGACCCAACGGAATACCTTCGCTGAATTCCAGCGCTGGGACATCTGCTTCATGGGGGGGGATCTGCGCTTCCCACATTGTCTCGCCTTCACCGGCAAGTGCTGGTGAGTGCGAACCGGCCTCGTAGTTTTCTCTCATCTTCCCCACGCTAGCTCTTGTTCTCTGCAACCTCTCGTAGTAGTCACAGCTAGGAATATTGCCATCTTCTTTCATAACCTTCAGGATGGTGAACGCGTACGAAATAGCGTCGGACATGGCCACATTTGGATTCATGACGGCCGACATGATCAGAATGAGCGTGGAAGAGAAGAGGTAATGCGCATCGAAGTATCCAAAAGATGCCAGAGATCCCTCTACAAAACATCGAGATAGTATTGAATTGGAAGCTCGTGCAGCTTGGACGCAGCTTTCTGCTAGCGCGAGGGTCGTTGGTGAGAAGGTCCGCGGTGGAATGAGGAGTCCGGCCGCGTCAGTCGTAAGGGAAAAGCGATTCTTGAAGAGATAGAGTAAGATCGGCCGGGTCGTTGAGATAACACACTTGTTATAGTGCAGATGAAGGCTTGCGACATGGCGAGGCAAGTGGTCTTGCTGCAAGCTCAGCTTCTCGGGGAGCTCTTCGCCCCATTTCCTCAAACTCAGGAGGATCCGGTGTACTCTTTGCACAAAGGGTTCGTGGTTCCGTTGAGGTAAACAATAGAGGTCACTCACTGTGAATTTTTTTTTTTTTTTTTAGAATAAATATTTGATCTGTTCTGCAGTGAATGGTGAAATTGGGACTGTGACATACGAATTTGACCTGTGATCCGGGCAAGTTTGATCGTAGCGATCAAGTGCGCAGGATCCGAAAACTCCTCTTGCTCGGATGCGCTGAGACCGTCGTTCGTCGGTAGCTCCACGTCAATTAGAGAATCGCTGATTAGTAAGGGATACCCAAGAATGGAGCTGCAAAGTCGATCCAGAGTATATAGTGTCCACCAGACGCGCTTCCGATGCTCGCGCTCTACAGGGTTGAGCATCGTATCGCTAGGCAAGTTTCTATGCAGGCCTAAAGCCAAGGCCATCCTCATTGCAATCCCAATATACGTGTATGCGGATTTTGTACGCCCAAGAGCATTCGCATAGAAGCACTAGACGGCCTATTGTCAGTCGAGCCCGAGCGGTAGGGTACTTCTTGTCCGTTGGTGAAAGTAATGAGCAACACTTACGAAAAGAATCAGAACCTCCACCTGCTCGACAGATGGAGTTTCGTATAAATCTTGCAACAGGCCCGTGGCCTGAAGGAAGTAATCAGTGCCCGGCACGCACTGGCTCATGTTTCTACGCTGGCGATTGGAGTACATCTCTCCTAGTGCCAGCAATATAAAGAATTTGCATATCCACACCAAGTCTCGGGGCTCCTCTCTAGCACATATTCGATCCAGCTTATCATAGAAAGTCTTCTTCAGAAGAAGATGATAATCAGTTCCTATGAACCGCACAGCAACCCCGACTAGAAGTCGAGACTGGATCCGGTCGGGCAGGGCAAGGTCTGGCCGTACAAGGCGATTGAAAATTTCGTGCTGAAAATATGTCGGCGGAGGCCAGGCTGCGAGATCTGTATCTTTGTCCACGCATTGTAGAAGGGTATCGCCAAAGGCAACACAGGATGTTTCGCCGATATAGACTGGTGGCGCTGCTGACCCGGCTGCGACAAAGCCCGTGGGCGATTCCAGCAGCGGGTTTGAGACATCAGTGTCCGTGAACTGTGCTGGGTTCTGGCCCTGGTGATCATTTGCAACACTGGAGGCCTCGTATGTGGTCAGGGACGGAGAAGCAGCACCGGGTTGCTGCTGTTGCTGCGCTCTCAAGTCTCTTATTTCACCTTCCAGCTTTTTGATGTACCTAAATCGCATTGTCTTGGTTACTACGAGTTGATATACAATGACCTGTCTGCACTTACGTTTCTGATACCGAGACTTTCCGGTCTCGCTGTGGGAACTGGCATTGGTCGCGTTTGCCTGAGACGCAGCATGCCCGACACGGCTGGATACCAGAGCACTTTATTTTTTGCGCATGACATCGCCGGCAGCTGTCGATATGATATTAGTGTGAGCCGCATACGATGCAAACGTCTACTCACGCTACGTATATGCGCCTTTGGCGCTTGGCCGGGGGCGCCATGAAGCAGAGGTTGATGATTTCCGAGAAGATGGGGTAGGTTACAAGAGGAGAAAAGGAGGAAGAAGCGGCGGATAACTTGTTCGTTATCAGTGGAGAAATACATAGTTTAAACAACACCTTGGCTGATAAGTAAGCGTGTGGAGAGTCACAACGCCCCTGAACCTCGCAACTGCTAACTAATATGTATACTATGTAACTAACTAACTACAATAATCTACAGTGAATACCGGAAATATACATCGTAGTCCCCCTTTTCCGGTCTCTTTTCCAACACTTCCCCGGCCTCCTCAGCTCGCTGGATCCTTGCAGCCCGCTTCTTGTTCACTATCAGCATCCCAACTGACAACGCGATCACCATGGCCAACGCTACTACCGCTAGACCTAAACTAATAGACAACCCTTTGATATATCTCGGCGCGGACTGGGTTGTGAAGATCTGACCAACAGCGACACCTGCCGTATTTCCGAAACAAAGAGTCATTCCAACCATGGTGGCTCGCTTAAAGTGACGGGCCGTATTATCTTGGAGCCACATGAGGGACAATCCGGTCGTTGGATAAATACCAAGAGCGACAACTACACATATGGATGAGCCAATGCAATGGGGGGACTTGACGAGACTGACACTGTGAGGGGGCTTACCGAAACATGCGAAAAATCTCACTTTCAGGTTCTCCACCGCGATCAGGATTGCATAACCAATGATCAAGCACAATAAGGGCCCCGCGAGGAAGGGACCTCGCAGACCAACTCTGTCGGAGCAGTACGCAATGATGAGAAACCAGACAAGACCGACCATGTAGATGGGGACAGTCATCAAGTTTGCGTGGACTCCCGAGTATCCCAAGCCGGAAACAATCTTGGGAAGGAAGGTGGTGAAACCGTAGAGCGAGATGTCGACGCTAAACTGGTAAATCCAGAAAGCCCACCATTTGGGGTCTATGAATATGCTCAACGACTCGGCCCAGGTAAACACCTCATCGTGTCCCCAGTGGGGGTCATTGTCGTAGCGAGCTTGCATCATACTCTTCTCTTCACTCGTGAGAAACCACGCGGTAGTTGGGTGCTTAGGGAAGAGGAAGAAGAACATTGGCACAAGGACTAGAGTCATAGCTCCTTCAACGGCGAAGAGCCAGCGCCATCCCGCCCAGCCATGAGGTCCATGGACTTGTGTGAGGCCGTAGGCGAGAAGTCCACCGAACGCGCTCGAAAAGGCACTGAATGCAAAAATCACTGCCGAGCGCTTTCCTCGTTCACTCTTCTTGTACACAAGGGCGATATAAACGTCGATGCAAGGGATCAGGCCCGCTTCGAAGAATCCTGTTAGCAGTCGGCAGGCGTAGAGACCCTTCCAAGACTCTATGAATGCTGCCAAAATTGTCACGTCAGTTATATGGATCCATCCCGCCGATCTTATGCAAGTATGCAAACCAACCCATTCCAAGAGTTGTGATTCCCCAGCAGAAAGCACACGTGGAGAGAAGAGGCCGAGGTCCAATGATTTTCAGAAGGACTGCGACCGGTCCCTCGAATGGAACATAAGTCGCGTACCTGCCCAGGGCCGTCTTAGCGAGCGAATTCAGGACCAAATTTTGAATCGTGGTTTCTTACAGCAAAGTCGTGGCCGTGCCAAACTGATTGCCCACCAAGCCCAAGTCTGTGGGCATTCCTGCTGTTTGAGCATTTCCTATGTTGCTCCGGTCCAGGTTGGCCATCATGTAGAACAATCCCAGCAAGCCGATTGCGCAAAACTGCATGCATTTGTTTGCATTAGTTGATCTGGTACCACCATGGTGTGTGCCAGACGGGGGGAGGGGCGCCTCACGTCAAATTTACGCATCATTCGTGCCTCCTTGACCGGATCAATGTAGGTTTCAACTGCGCCTTCATTGATGTGCGGATCGCAGACCTTGCGCTCTGTTGTCGCTTTTGTCTCCATGATCTTCTGCCGATGGTACGAAAGGGTAATGATGTCGGAAACAATCTTTGATCATGCCGGAAACCATGGTTAATGGTTGTCTGGCGAGCAAGTACATATACTCTGCGCTTGAGACGATTAGTATGGGGCTAAGATCATCGCTTAACTACAGCTCATCCGGCGTATCTCCAGCTGATAACAACGATGATAAGGTTGATAAGGCTGATAACGTTGATAGCCGTTGTTGATCGGCTGTACCTCGTCGATGCCACTAACCCTAACCCTATAGATCGGCTCGCGCAGATGGAAATAATAAACTCTGATAAACATCGCTCTCGCGGGATTCATGATAGTGCGATACCATATTTCAGGTCAGTCCGTTCGGAATTGGTTACGTTTGCTCCCCTTTTGTTTTTTTTTTGTTTTTTTTCCCTTCCTCTTCTTCTTTTGTCGCCAGTATTTTGAAGGAGCATCAATAGGGCATGGCAAGCCAAACCCTCTACCTCGGACGACTAGACTCGGTCTCCACATCACTATGTCTCTTCACTTTGTTGACTGGATCGTTATGGATCGCGTATCGACTGGGATCAAGAAATGATATTGCGGACTCGGATTATGCCGGTCGAGCAGCTCGAGTCCTCAAAAGCACTCCCTTGATCGACGGCCATAATGACCTGCCTTACCTACTTCGCATTGAGTTGCAAAACCAAATCAATGACGGCAAATTTACTTTTCAAGAAGGTAAGAACCCCCTCATCTGCCTTTCAAATCTGAGCAATCCTTAGGGTTAAACTTATGTGCAGGCTTGGCCAGTCATACAGACCTCAAGCGCATGCAGAAGGGCCGAGTTGGGGGCCAATTCTGGTCGGTCTTCATGGAATGCCCTGATACCGAAAACATCGACGACCCCAGTCATGTTGTTCGCGACACGCTGGAACAAATCGACGTAGCCCGTCGCTTCATCGAAATGACGCCCGAATTGGAATTCTGCGCAACGGCCTCAGATGCCGTAAAGGCATTCAAAGCCGGGAGGATAGGATCTATGCTCGGTGCAGAGGGCCTGCACCAAACTGGCTCATCGATCGCAGTTATTCGCCAGCTGTGGGATCTGGGAGTTCGATACATCACCATCACGCACAATAGCGATAACGCGTACGCGACAGCGGCGGCCACCGTGACCGCGACCGGTAAAGATGCAGGGCTTTCACCATTCGGAGCTGCCGCAATTCGCGAAATGAATCGTCTCGGTATGATGGTGGATCTGTCGCATGCGTCACATCGCACAATGAGACAAGTACTAGAGATTACTCGGTCTCCCGTCATCTTCAGTCATAGTACCTGCTACTCTTTAGCACGGAATTATCGAAATGCACCCGACGACGTGATCAAAGCTCTCAAGTCTAATGGGGGCGTTTTGATGGTCATGTTCGTCAAGAGATTCCTTAAAGCGGACGATCCTGATACGGCCAATATCGAAACGGTCGTCGATCATATCATGCATATTGTGGATCTTGCAGGATGGGATCACGTCGGTATAGGAGGTGATTTCGATGGCACAGTCACGCTAGCAAATGGCATTTCGTCGGTGGCAGACTATCCACTGTTAATCGAGGCTGTGATGCGACGAGGAGCGACGGATAGTCAAGTGAAGAAACTCGTGGGGCTGAATATTTTGAGGTATGGATTAATCTGGAACCTCGCAGGTGAAATGACTGCTTGCATTAGACTAACAGTTAGTTCTTAGGGCCTGGGCTGAGAATGAGCGCAATGCAAAAGTTCTCGCCGATGAGCTACCAGTTGAAGAGGTTTGGGGAGGAAGAAGTTGGTCAAGATGGAACAATCCGCTCCCAAACATGATTCCAGGTAATCCAGATCGTATACCTGCTCAAGATTATCAATGAGAGTGAGGCGATGCAAAATGAGTATTCGATATGTAATTTTCGGGGATATTAGCTATTTCACAGTTCGTTCCTGATATAAAAAATGTGGGAAAATAAAAAAGAGAGGAAAAAAAAAAAAAAATAAGAAAAAGAGACCAGAATAAAATGCTACCTAGATATAAACTCATATATTTTTTTTTATCTCGCCTCATGCTAGACTCAATTACTAGTAGCCGTCGAACTCCTCTCCGAAACACTCCCCTGAGTCCGAAGAACCGACGAGCCCGGTACAAATTTATCTTTGATCTTGAAGATATCCTGCAAATCCTGTTCTTGCTTCATATCCGGATCCTTACCATAGCCACCACCTCCAGGCGTGTAGACAATGATATGATCACCAGCGCTCATCTGCGTCGTGGCCTTACCACCGAGACTAATAGACCGGCTACTCCCATCTGGATACTTCCTCAGCCAGATATTGAGACCTCTCTTCCCCTCCTCACCACCGGCCATGCCGTAGGGCGCGATCACACGCCTTTCTGAAAGAATCGATACCTGCATTGGTACCCGGAACTCAATGTCACGGATACACCCGTCACCACCACGGTGTCGACCAGCACCGCCACTTTGCTTTCGAATAGAAAATTCGTGGAGGATGACTGGATAGCGCCTCTCAAAGGTCTCGGGGTCTGAAATACGGGTATTGGTGATGTGAGTGTGAACACCACTCTCACCATCCCAATCTGCACCAGCACCAGAGCCGCCAGCGATTGTCTCATAATAACCAAAGCCCTTCGTAACTACGCCAGTGGTGGGATCAGTGCCGCCGTAGCCAAAGGTTAAGTTGTTGCAGGTTCCCTGAGAAGCTGCAGCCGCACGGAATGCCTTGAAGATTAAGTCCACAATTCGTTGCGATGTCTCAACATTGGAACCCACAGTGGCTGCTTTGAGCGATGGAGATAGGAGGGTATTAGGTGGACAAATCAACTTGATGGGCTTCAGACAACCCTGGTTGAGTGGGATATCGGATGAAATCATTGATCGAATGCAATACTGCAGAAAGCGTGTCAGTCAGCCGGACATCTTCAACCAGGAAGATTATTAAGTTCTAACTTACCATGATTCCAGAGTACATGATAGCTGGCGGACAATTCAAGTTGCCAAAGTGCTCAGGTCCGGTTCCGGTAAAGTCGAACACCGCATCTCCACTCTCTTCAATGCTTATTTTCAGGGCCAAAGGTGTTCCATCATCGATATAATCAATGGCTTCCAGGGGCTGTCCGGCAAACTTCTGAGCAATGACCTTGAGAAGGTCACGGGTGGCCTGGCTCGCGTTGTCCTGGATTGCTTGCATATAATATTGGACTACAGGCCAAGTATACTCCTTGATCAGTGACTTGATCAGATGGATGCCTTTGTTATTTGAAGCAATTGCGGCTTTGAGATCAGCGATGTTATCACGGAGAGTACGAGTGCCACTTGAGCCGGGATACGACGCCGGTATATCGACGAGAATTTCGATCAATCCCGGTTCGTCAAATTTGCCCTCCTTGACTACCTTGAAGGATTCTACCGCCGCACCTTCTTGCCAGAGCTCCGTGGAGTGTGGAGGCATGGAACCTGGTTGGATACCTCCAATATCTGCGTGGTGACCTCTGTTGGCAACGAAGAAGAGAATCTTTGTGGGATTCTCGTCGTCATCAAAGACGGGCGTGGTGATGGTCAGATCCGGTAAATGGGTGCCCCCTGCACAAGGATGATTGCTTAAAAGCACGTCACCGGGTCTCAACTCGCCCGGTTTATATCGACGAGCTTGATAGGCAATTGCATAGCTCATTGAACCTAAATGACCAGGAATGTGTGGTGCATTGGCGACTAGACTGCCATCTCCTGAGAAGATAGCGCAAGAGTAATCCAGTCGCTCCTTAATATTCACTGAAACAGAGGTCTTCTGCATCGTCTCTCCCATCTGCTCTGCCACGCTCATGAAACGGTGACCAAAGACACTAAGCTGTACAGGATCAACAGCATCAGTACTGATTACAGTCTTTTCTGTCCCCGAAATTTCAATTACAACGTGCTCTGGTAGGATGATAGCTTCGCTGGCTGGGTCAATAATGATCGTTTGAGTCTTGTCAATAACCATGGCAGGACCGCTGATACGGGTGCCTGGTATAAGGCCCTTGAGCGAGTAAAGGCCAACCTCAACCCAGCCACACTGTTCAAAGTAAACTTTGATTTTTCTGTCTGGCTGGATTGGAGTCGAAGGCGGTGAATTGGCAAGCTTTTTCAGCTCCGCACATGGACTGGAAAGACTCACATCCATGCCCTTACCGATACTTCTCACCCGAACATCGTCGATCAGGATCTCTCGAGGCTGGGTGAAACCAAATTCCTGCCAATGGCGGGCGGCAAACGCATTGCCAAAGTCCTCAAAGTTGTTGGACTTGGGCATAGCAATCATCAGTGCGGTATCGCTTCCCTGATAACGCATGTTCAAGAATAGCTCGTGGTGAATCTGGGACTCTGAGAAGCCCTGAGAAACGAGGCCTGCGACACCAGCTTTTTTAAGTCGGGAAAACCTCTCCTCGAGCCGGGGAATGACTTCCACACTGAAAGATGTTGCTTCGGGCTCTTGGTTCTCAACGACCACATCGGCGAGAGCCATTCCGTACGCGGATAAAATACTCGAGTAGCGAGGGATAAGCGCTCGTCGTATTCCAAGATCTCTTGCAATGGCAACCGCGTGCTGTCCACCAGCTCCACCGAAGCAGCAAAGATTATGCGCAGCAGTCTCAAATCCACGACCCTCGCTCAAGGTTCGGATAGGGCGAGTCATGGTTGCGTTCGCAATTGAGAGGAATCCTACCGCAACTTCCTCTGGCGTAAGTTGGGAAGAGCCATCTTTCTCAGCATTAATGACTGCTGTAAGTGCTGTAAATTTCTCCTTAACAACGGCCAAGTCAAGCGGCATTGGGAAATATTCAGGAATAACGCGTCCGAGGAAGAGATTCGCATCTGTCACGGTCAAAGGTCCCCCCCGTCCGTAGCACGCTGGCCCCGGATGGGCCCCAGCGCTATGAGGACCAACTTTGAATAGGCCATTTTCCCAGAAGAGCATTGACCCACCTCCAGCAGCCACTGTATTGATGTCAAGCTGTGGAGTCTGGATAGTCACTTGGGCAATCGTGCTTTCGAAGATGTGCTCTAGGGTTCCGGCAAATCTGGCGACGTCCGTGCTAGTACCACCCACTAAACATCTGTCAGTATAAGAAAGACTTAAATCATGCCCGGAGCTAGCCCATATCCCTGGAATGCCACAACTTACTATCAAACGCCAACACGGGCGTTCCATCCTCTGCATCGTAGCATGTTCGAGACATGCCAATAACACCGCCAGCTGGTCCACTCAGTACGCCTCGAAGGCCAGAGAAATTTGCAACCGAGGTCAATCCGCCATCGGATTGGTTGACGAAGACCTTTTCACCATTTTTATCTGCTAGGTTGCCCTTGAATCCTTTCCTAAATCCATCCAAGTACTTCTCTGTCATAGGCGAGAGATAAGCATCCGCCACAGCTGACTGACTGCGAGGAACGATTTTCGCCATAGCTTGCAACTCTGACGAGACTGTAACTCTGAAGCCAAGCTCTCGCGCAATTCTTGCGATGGCACTCTCATGCTCTTGGAATGTATACGAGTGCATAAGCGCAAGGGCCACTGAGCGATAGCCTCGGTCCCAAAGGGCAAGCAGGTCCTTTCGAACCGCCTCCAGATCCGGTGAGCGTAACACGCGCACGACTTCCCCCGTCAGCCCTATCTGCAGCTCAGGATCAGAGTCTACGTCGATTGTCTTCGGCTCTGGATCTTCTGAAAACCCTTCAATCGTAACTCTTTCGTCGATCTCGACCACGGCCTCGTATAATTGAGTCAGCCGCTGCACTGAGAGATCGAAGATATTCGGTCGGGCCTGGTTTCCAATCTTGAGAAGATCCCGGAATCCCTTGGTAATCAGCAGGGCAACCCTTTCGCCTTTGCGCTCGAGCAATGCGTTGGTGGCGACTGTAGTGCCCATTCGGATAGACTCGACAGGGTCGAGATCCAAAAGGGTACCGCGGGGAATGGCAGAGCCACTGGCGATCTCTAGGATTTGTCGGATACATTCTGTAGGCGCATCATCGTATTCCCCCGGTGATACAGAAAGAACTTTGAAGATGATATCAGTAGGATGGCCGGGTATTTGAGCCCATGCGTCTGTGAATGTGCCACCGCGATCGATCGCGATCCGAATGCCAGTCTGTGCCATGTGGTAGTGTTATCTGGCTTTGAATAGAGTAAAGGAACTGGATTTGTATAGGATTCACGGAGCGTGGGGATTATGAGGTTGTTTGTAGTAGTTCAACTGCCATGAGAAAAGGAAGAGCGCGCAGGGAGAGTACTCTGCATGATCTACCCGGCAGCAGCATGTCTTCTATAGTTACTCTAGATATCTGCCTCCATCATTGCCGATTCCGCTATGGACTTTTTCTCCACCCGGTAATTCGGTCACACAGCCGGCTGCAATAGATTGCCTACCGGTGAGTGGGTCTGGAGCCGATCTAGACACCGGTCCAGGGTCTGTGATACCGACAGATAGTGTCGGTATCTCTGCCGGGGTCTTTCTTGTCAAGGAACCAATTCAATAGGTGATGGGCGAACTCCATAGTGTCGTAGATTTGCTCAATACGTAAATCTGAATTGAGATCCAACCACGCGCTTTCCGGCTGCTAGAGACCGCCATAATGGCTGAAAAGCCCGTCGTCCTCCTAATCGAGTCCAGCGTTCAGCACATCGACCATGCACGACGGCAAGCCCTAGCAGAAAAAGTCAACTTTCTGGTCTATGACTGTGCATCTGTCGACGAGTTCATCAGTCGACTGCAACCAGGTGGCGTATACTGCAATATCACCGCTATCATCCGAACAGGTTGGCTTAAAGCCGGGCCTTACGCATCACACCTCGTTTTCACTAAAAAGGCCATCCAGTCCTATCCCCCAAGCCTGAAACTTATCTGTTGTAGTGGGCACGGATATGATGCAGCCGACATCGAAGCATTGACTGCGCGGGGCATCTGGTATTGCAATACACCCAACGCATGTACAGAGGCTGTCGCGAACACGGGGCTGGCTCTTGTGCTGGAGACATTCCGGTATCTGAGCTATGCACAGTGGTGTGCCAGGTTTGATTGGGAGAAGAGTCGAGAGCTTGGGACCAAAGCTGTCGATCCGGCTGGTATGGTATTGGGGGTTATTGGGATGGGCGACATTGGAATCGCGATTGCGCAAAAGTGCGAGGCTGCGCTGGGCATGAAGATAGCGTACCATGGTCCACGAAGGAAGCCCGATGCAGAGGCGAAGCTTAAGGGGGGCGCCCATTACTACTTTGATCTGCTCGAAATGCTCGCCGTGATTGACTGCCTGGTTGTCGCAGCGCCTTATACTCCAAGCACACACCATCTACTGTCGCAGCGCGAGTTTCGAGTTGCGAAGAGTTCGGGCCTCCGAGTAGTAAATATCGCTCGCGGTAAAATCATCGATGAAGAGGCCCTGATATCTGCCATGGAAGCAGGACAGGTCGTTGGGATCGGGCTTGATGTTCATGAGAACGAGCCAAAAATCCATGACAAGCTAAGGGAGAACTGGATGGTCACTTTGTTACCACATATTGCGGTGTGCTCGGGCACAAGCTGGGCCAATTTTGAAGCAGGTAATTGGGGCAATCTCGAGGCTTTCCTAAAAGATGGCAAGCCGGAGACTCCAGTAAACCGAGTGTGAATGGCTGATAGGAAGATAGATATGGCCATCGAATTCAAACAATAGACAATTCTCTCAAAGTGCCTAATCATAATATATAAATGGGTCACAGCCAAGGTTTTCAACTAGAATCTCCCCTAATAATAACATAAGGTAGCAGCCATAGATCACCTATTTATAGGAAACTGGATTCCCTACTTAGTATTTATCAAGGACGTCCTTATTGACTTTTTAAACCAATGATCGGATGTCTTGTTAGTAGTTAGGTCTGATGGGGTGGAATGCTGTCAAATCAGTCTCACTACGCCTGGGTATTAGTCTTGTCACTAGTTCGGTCTCGCAGGGTCTCTTGGTTCAACTTTCAAGGCTCTTGACTTTTTCTCTGTTCGCTTCCATTCCTAATTCTACCCTTTTCTCAGCAATGCCTTCTCGAAGGGCCCTGTTCGTCATCGACATCCAGAACGAGCTTATTGCCGATCCCAAGACTTGCATTCCTAGTCCTGAGCGGGTCATTTAAGGCATCCGAACAAATCCTGAAGGCTGCTCGTTCAATCCTTGACCTTGACTCGCACAAGGGTGGTAACTGCCCACCACCCTGGCTTATTGTCTTCGTCCAGCATGAGGAGTTTCCGCCCGAGGGGACTATGGTGAGGGGCACCAAGCCTTGGGAGCTCTTCTTTCCCCCTCGCCCAAACCGGCAGGACGAGATACTGGTGGAGAAGAGCACAGGTACACGTATTTTGAAGTTTATACCAAGCGTTATCTAAGCAGAGTTTATAGGAGACACTTTCGAGTCAAATTGCGATCTCGCGCCGGGGCTTCGCGATAATGATATCACTGAAATCGTAGCATTCGGCCTCCAAAGTGATGGCTGCGTCGAGGCGACGTGCACGGGGGCGCTAGCCACTGGATTTAGCGTGACCGTGCTCTCCGGCGCGCATTCAACCTATGATAGCGATATGAAAAAGGCTGTGGAGATTGAGCGTGAGGTTGAGCTTCGCCTGTCCGCCCGTGGCGCTCGTGTTGTTCCTTGGGAAAAGGGAATCTCCAACTGGGCGGATCTGCCGCAGAATGTTTGAGGTATACGGCTGGACATATACTCTGCTCTCGTCCTACAAAATGTTTACTTCCCCAAGCACGACACCAATAGCGCGGTGTTTAGGATACTAGCATTATTAAGGAAAGATGCTCAGCTTGTTACCAAACCAACTTACATGAATGGCCCCTAGTTAGCAGGAACTAGTATCATGTTAACATATTAACATAGTGCCACTGATTAGATGCTATATGTATTCGTTATAGCGGTCATAATCCGCTGTCACCACCCTTTTTTTGTACTTGCACCTTTCCCAACGCCGTTAAAGCCAGCGACATGACCCACAACAGGGCTCGTAAAAGTCCCAAAACGGCAATTACGAGACGGACCGTAGCCATCGCTTGTATGGGCTCTGCTTTGGGGCGCATGCGATGTGAATTGATATAAAAGAGCGGGCTCTACTTAGGGAATTATGTCTTCTTCATGTGTCTTCGCTTGCAACAGTTCCTGAATGGTGCGAACCGTCCTTGAAAACTACATTACATAGATACCGGTACCCGAGTGAACATACGTCCCCCAGGTGCATCCATCCTTACCTAACATGGCCGACTCTTCGCCTACTTCAAACAAACCTATGCATAAAGCTAACAACTTAAGCTGTATAGAAACCCCAGACGACCTTCGATACAAACCATGGCTGACCAGCCAGACTCCAAAACCCAGCGCAGAGAAGCACCACATCCCCAGCAAGAACGAGCCCCCAAGTTCTCCGACTACCTACGAGTCTTCAGCTACGCAACAAAACGGGATGTGTGCATCTATATCCTAGGTTCTCTAGCATCCGTGGGCGCGGGCGTCATGATGCCGCTGATGAACGTGATTTTCGGACAGCTCGTGGGCCAGTTCACGGATTCGATCAGGGACGCGAGGTCCTCCACACTCAACGACTTCCAAAAGCTTGTCGACAAACAAGTATTATACATCATGGGCCTGTTTTTCGGCCGCTGGTTTCTCAGTTCGATCAATAAGTTCTGTTTCCGAGTAATGGGTATTCGCCTCTCTGCTGCCGTTCGCCTGCATTACCTGAACTCGTTGTTGTCACAGTCGATTCAGGTCATCGACTCCATCCCCCTCGGCACGCCTGCTACCGCAATCACTGCAACCACGAATACACTGCAGATTGGTGTGTCGGAGCGGCTAGGGACGATGTTGCAATCCCTTAGCACTGTTTGTGCTGCCGCGATCGTCTCGTTTATCTGGAGCTGGAATATCACATTGGTGACCTTCTCGTTATTGGTATATGTGCTGGTTGTCCTGGGAGTGCTTACACCGCGGATCCTCAAGGGTTTCAATGCCATGACCAAAGCGGATGAAGAAGGTATAGCCCTCGCTAGCGAAGCCATCGAAGGCATTCGTCTTGTCGCGGCGTGTGGTGCAGAGAGTCTTGTAGCCTCTCGCTATGAGGATCGCGTACTAGAGGCGAGGCGACAGATCCAGAATACCGCACCCTTTATTGCGCTGCAGTTGGGTCTTATTGTTAGTACATTGCTCCCTTGGTCTTACCAGCCAACGACTACTAACTTGGAGAGCAGTTCTTTGGCGTCTTTGGCTCATTTAGCTTGGCCTTCTGGTACGGCGCTCAGCGATTCGCCGTCGGTGCAATCAGTAATGCCGGCGTAGTTCTTGTTGTGATAATGTCGGTCATGATGACCTTCATGTCTATACAGAGCATCTCGTTGCCGCTCCTGGATATCAGCAAAGCGATGGTGGCTGCACGCGACTTTTTTGCTGTGATTGATACACCGCAGGCTGCGTCAGGCTCACTCAAGCCAGATATTTTCTCGCAAGATATACTATTCAAGGACGTCACATTTGAATATCCGACCCGGCCTGGTGCTACGGTCCTCGGTGGACTGAATATTTGCATCAGGTCTGGTCATAACACAGCTCTTATTGGCCCTTCTGGATCGGGTAAGAGCACCGTTGTCGCCTTGCTAGAGCGATGGTACTCCCTGAGAGATCCCTGTGCACTGTCCAGTGAAAACATGGGTGAAGAAAAGATAAATCCCGAACCCAGAATTTCCGGATCCATCACTATCGGAGGCTATGACTTGAATGATCTCGACCTCAAATGGTGGAGAGGTCACATAGGCCTAGTTCAGCAAGAACCTTTTCTTTTCAATGATACAATCTTCAATAACGTCAAAATGGGTCTCATAGGTACCCAGTGGGAAGATGAATCCGAAGAATGCAAGAAGGAGATGGTTCGCAAGGCATGTGAGGAGGCCTACGCTGATGAATTCATCACTCGCCTCCCAAACGTAAGTACACTCTGATAATGTATAATCTTTGATCTTCCTACTTACTTCATATAATCAGGGATACGACACTCGCGTCGGCGATGGAGGCACAAAACTGTCTGGAGGCCAAAAGCAGCGTCTTGCCATCGCCAGGAGCATCATCAAGAAGCCTCAGATTGTCATTCTTGATGAAGCCACAAGCGCAATTGATGCCAAGAGTGAAAAGATAGTCCAGGCTGCACTTGACAGGCTTTCGAAAAACCGCACAACTATTACCATCGCGCACCGCCTCAGCACCATTCAAAACGCGGACCACATTGTGGTCTTGCGCAATGGGCAAGCCGTTGAGCGAGGGACGCACCAGAGTCTCCTTGCAAATGAATCGGGTGTTTATAATGCTTTGGTGCGGGGTCAGTCGCTGCATTTCTCTAATCACAAACCTGCTGATGCTCCAGAACTCGTGCCGGATGATCACGAATCCGAAAATGCTACTACTAACAATTTTCACACAACCAAAACCACGATCACCCCGAAGACTGGCAAGTTTGCTCGATACATGATAGGAACTCTTGTACAACTCTTTAGAGATCAGCGCGCGCACTGGCCTTCTTACTTAGGCATCATGTTTTCTTCCATGGCAGTCGCCGCGGGCACACCGATCCAGGCATGGCTTATTGCAAAAGTCATTGGCATTTTTCTATTGTCCGGGGCGGAAATAAAACAACAAAGTGACTTTTTGGGCCTGATGTGGCTTGCTTTAGCCGGCGGCGTAGGCATTGCGTACTTCTTCCAAGGCCTGATCAGTGTGCGTCTGCAATACTTTGTCAATGCAAAGTATAACCTGCACTATTTCAACAACCTCCTGCACCAGAAGCCCGGATTTTTTGACGAAGATGTCAATTCTCACGGCACGTTGACTTCTCATATAGCGGGTGACGCAAAGCAGGTTGGGGAGCTCTTTGGTGTGAACCTGGCGTTTCTATTATCTGGTTTATTCATGGTAATCGGTTGCATCATTATTTCGCTGGTCTTCAGCTGGAAGCTTGGTTTGGTAGCTTTGTTTGGCACTATGCCGATTCTGCTGGGCACCGGTTTCTGGAAAGTCAGATACGAGGTGCAATTTGAACAGATGAATTCCATGGTTTTCATGGAAAGCTCGCAGTTTGCCACTGAAGCAATCGGAGCCATTAGGACGGTCTCTGCGCTCGAAATGGAATCTTCCATTAACGCCAGATACCAGAAGCTTCTGAACGGCCATATCCAAGCAGCGTATCGCAAGGCACTATGGACTGCTGCGCTCTTCGGATTTGCAGATAGCGCTACACTTGGATGCCAGGCCTTGATTTTCTGGTATGGTGGAAAGCTTCTGAGTAGAGGCGAGGTGTCCCTAGAGGCATTCTTTGTCTCCCTGATGGCCATGGTGCAAGGTGCTGAGGGAGCAGCGCAGTCACTGGCATCGACTCCCAACGTAACACGGGCAGCTGCTGCTGCAAAACGTATATTTGACACCCACAAGTCTGTCGTGAGGAGATCTATACACATGACTACCACCAGCAGCGCGATACCAAACGCAGACGGTGGAGTCCAAATAGACATACAAAACGTATCTTTCAAGTATCCAACGAGAGAAGTTTTCGTCTTCAAAGACCTATGTCTCAACATCAAAAAAGGGCAGTACTTGGCATTCGTTGGCCCATCTGGCAGTGGGAAGACATCTATAATCTCCCTTTTAGAGAGATTCTATGATTTGGAACCCGGCAACGGTGCCATTTTATGTAACGGCATCAACATCAATGACCTTGACGTATATGAATATCGAAAGCATCTATCGCTTGTATCCCAGGAACCAATTCTGTTCCGAGGTACGGTGCGTGACAACATCTTATTCGGTGTTGCCAACCCCGATTCGATTCCAGATGAACAGGTCCATCAAGTTTGCCGCGACGTCTCCATCCATGATTTCATCATCTCTTTACCGGAGGGATACAATACCGACGTAGGGCATAAAGGAATCGCCATGTCTGGAGGACAGAAACAGCGAATCGCTATCGCGCGGGCGATGATGCGAAATCCTAGCATCCTCTTCTTGGATGAAGCAACGTCGGCGCTGGATTCCGAGTCCGAGAAGATAGTACAGGCTAGCATCGAAAGAGTGAAGGGAAGAACCGTGATTGCGGTAGCTCATAGACTGTCGACAATCCAGAACGCGGACGTCATCTTTGTCTTGGACGATGGCAGGGTGGTGGAGTCTGGCAGCCACAGTGAACTTATTGAACAGCACGGAATATACTGGGAGATGGTAAGTCGTATGCATACGCCTTGTATGTTTTTTTGGCTAACAGTTTTGAAATTTTTAGTGTCGGAATCAAATATTGAATCAGTAGTGGCTGTACTAGTAGATATTGGTTTTGGTTGGAACTTTGTGCACATTCCTGAGATGATCTTGGGAATGAAGCAGTCTTGGCTTTACGATTTGAATTTATATCGACTTTCATCATGCCAAGTTCTATCGTGAATAGATGCATTGATCTTCTTTTAAGTGCTCATTACTAATCAACGCTCAATATGAACATAGTATGCATAGTTCATAATCCTTCCTCATACCTTAGAGCGTTCATAGTAAATATATCATCGATAAATCCTCCAAATGGTGAACTGTATCAAGTAGAGTAAAGATCAAATATGAGTGGCACCACGCATGCTGAGGGTTCACGCCGCTTCCAATTCATGCTCTCAATATCACTTTGAGCATCAGCTACTTCCTCCACCAGGTGCCATGTCTTTTCAACATCATCTTTATCCATATAACGGAAGACAACTAGATCGCCACCGTTTTCAAAAATATATTCCCGGCGCCACAGCCGTCGCAACTGCTCTTCAGGCGTTCCTTCACTTGCGTTCTTGCTCTCCACAGTGCGGTTTTTCACAGCTATTGCATATATGGCATGAGTGTTGAACAGTCCATCCTGGCCAGGATAGTCTCTAAGCATCCACACAGCCTGTTCTCGCACTAAAGGGTCACGACAATGCAAGGCCACACTCAGCAAATGCATTGCCAACACGCACTGTAACGAGAGCTGATGAGCTGGGTTCTTGCTTTGCCGCTTGGCTGTGCGCAGGAGAACCTCGGCCAGGGAGAGATATTCGCGGAACAATGGAGTTTGTGACTGAAGCAACTCCATATCAAGAAACATGGGCGGGTTCGAAAAGATGTACGTGCCTAGGTGCTGCAAGCGCAAGTGAATAGCTCGTAGATATGCAGGTGACTCGGGGTCAGACATCATAATCTTATTGAAAAGCGGGAGAAATGCCCTATCAAATAATTCCAACACCTCTCTAGAACCTTCGCAAAAATCTCGCATTCGAGAGTTGCCAATAATTTTGAGATGAAAAATGTCAGAGAAATCCTCAGCAGCTGACCGAAGCGCTTTTGACTCATTTAAGAGTTCCTGCATTATCAGACCCATGGCCATCTGTTCACGCTGAAAAGCGATCCATAGCTGCTCAAATTCGTCAAGACTTGTAAATAAAATCGGGATACGGTCCAAAATTGAAGAAGATTGAGATATCTGACTCAGTAGAACCATGAAAGACTCCACTGTCTGCTTTTGTTTCCTCAGTCCTTTCAGGAAGTTTGGAAGAGCTGGTGGACTTTGCCCGAGCTTACCGCGGAGGATTAGGCGAGCTTGGGGTGCGAGATATGTGAATACGTCTGCTACTGAGCTGATCACAGGTATTGGATTCGGCGCAAACTTCGCCACATGATTGGGTGCATCGTTATCAGTCGTGAGGATCAGTAGCAGAGCCAGACCGTGGTTGATGTGATCTAAAGCGGTCTTTCGATTGCCCCGGAGAACTTCGAAGAAAAGTAGCAAAACCGACAGGAACACAGCGTCTTGCAAACAAGCTTGCTGGTTCTGTAGCTTCAATGCGCGGCAGTAATAGGCAACGGCGTGGAAATAATGCGTGTCTGCTTCTGTTGATGGAGTACTGGGTGCTGTCACGGCACGGAGCAGTCCAGACTTTGTCTCACTGATCCATTTACTCAAGGCACCTATAGCCATGGCAGCATGGCGAAGGGTTGGCGTGTCATGTGCAAGTTGAGGCATAGCCGATGTCCATAAATCACCATTGGGTGCTGCAGTAGCCCACGGCGCCTGGATCATGGCAATGAACTCGCCGAAGTAACGCATATCCGCATCCCCGTGGAAATGGGGAGATTTTGGTTGGATATATAGCGGTACTGTTCGCCCTGCCGCAGGAACGATCTGCGTCGAATTCCAGACGATCTGCATAGGGCCAGGAGGTTTTGTCTTCTTATTCTCCCCGCCGGCGTACCCTTCGCAATGCCTCCTGCTCCTAAGACAGTTGCTGCACTGCGGCTTTGCTTCGTCGCATTTGATGTGGCGACGCTTACAGGTGATGCATCCTGTTCTGACCTTCTCAGTGCTTGTACGGGGTCGCCTCTGCTGGCTTAGGCGTACTGATGCAGCATCTTTCAAAGCCTGAGTATGATTGCCTGTTTTTGAACCTCTTGGCTGAGCTGATAGCGGTGGATTTGAAGTCTCCATCATCCAAGGACTTGATGGCGCTGTCAGCGGTACCGCGTGGCGTCTGGGATTTTGCTCAGGCTGCAACCTCATCTTCTACGGAGTACGGAGGTGGGAGTCTAAAGATAATAAGAATACAGTACTTCACCGCCTCCCGCACGCTACCACCTCTCGCACGATTTTTAAGAGTATACTAGATATATAATTTAAAGCTTTTTAACACCATATAATATTGAATATTTAGAAAATCTTTAAAGTAGTAGTAAATTAGTCATAAAGAATCTATTAAGTAAATTAATTAATTGTGAAAATGTGACGGGGGTTGCAAGAACGTAGCTGGGATTCGGCTTCGGCCTGGGAATAGATTCGAATATAGAACATATATACACATATACTCAGCAGTTAATCACTGCTTCTCTAAGGCCTAAGGCCGCCCCCAGTTACAAGGCGGTGTATGTTAAGCTATTAGTCTAATTAGTGGTAGGAAGCTAGGCAAGATTATATATCTGTTATACTTTAAAGCTATTTCTAACTTTATCTAGGATTCCACCTTATATGTTACGAAACCAACTTGCATGACACTAGTCGAGGCTAGCAACCATTACGGAAAAGCGTTCTATCAAGACAGTGTACGCTATAACCAGTTATTATCATGAAGGAAGAAACTAAGGATATAGGAATCATATGATTAGGATATATCATCATGAGGATTATAAGGATGGTAGAAGAATGATAGAAAGAAGGGAAATATTATTAAATATATTATTAGAATACCATAGAAAGGGGTAAAGGAATAGTAAGAAAGGAAATCTATATAAATATACTTTTTTTATATATCTAAAGAAAAGCATAGCTCTTTAATCTAAGCTATTTAATTATATATTAAGAGGGTTAGCAAGGCAAATCTACTTAAAATATTATAATACTTTAAGATGCTTCTTTTATCTTAGTTATGATTAATCAACCTTTATTATTAATAAGTCTAAACTATGTTTGATTTTATTAATAAGTTATTTTTATAAATTTTTATATAGTTCAACTATTATATTATATCTTAATATAACTAGTGATAATTAAGATGGATTTAAGCGTATAATAAAAGAGTTATTATCTTAACTTTAAAAAATAATATAGTAGAAATTATTATTAATTTAATATTTAAAATAGTTGTATTTTCTATTATCTTAAATTAATTTATAAATTTTTCTTTCTTTATCTAAATTTCTTTATTTTTTATAATAGTACTTATCCTATATTATTTTTTAAGATTAAGATAATAGCTCTTTTATTATATGCTTAAATCTATTTTAGTTATTACTAGCTATGTTGAGATATAATGTTAGTCAATAGCGTAACACAGTAGATAGATAGCATGTAGCATGTGACTAGTCATGTGCATCCTTAGTGTATGCCCACGGGTGGAACATAGAATAAGAATGACATACAGTTATCATCAAGATACACTTACATTCTATATAATATATTGAGACATATTAATAATAATAGCATGTCGCTTTGATCCTAGACTCTAGAACCAAAGTCTAATTATTAAAAAGAAATCTTAGCTCAATATAATATAATATATCCAACAAATTACATCTATCACTAAACAACCAGCATACTTTATTTAATAAGCTATATTCTTATTAGCTAGAGCTTTTATATTTCTATTAATACTTATATCTTACCTTTACTATCTTATTTATATTATTAATCAATATAATTTATACTATAATAATCTATATTAATATAACTATTTATTATATAGTCTTAAATAATAATAATAAAAAATAAGAAGAAAATTAATATAAAGTATAAATAAACTAGAAGAAAGTTAGGAATATATCTTCTTATTAAAGCTAGCTTTAATAAAGTTATTTAATAATTCTTTTTCTATCTTCTATTTTATATCTTTATTTTTATTTTTTATATCTATTACTTTTTTATTATTATTAGTTTATTCTATTTTCTTTTATCTCTTCTCCTTTTATTAATTATCTCTTTATTTATTTAATAAACCAAAATAAATACTTTTTATTAGATGATAATTTTAATTTATAATATCTTATAGATTAATCTTATCTTATTATAACTAATATTTTCTTTTAACTAATCATTATATTTAAACTTTAGAAATAAATTATAATATTAGAATATTAACTCTTAATATTCTATAAGTATCAGTACTCTAATAATTATCCTTATCACCTTATTAATAATCTTAATCTTAATATTATTCTATATTTCTCCTTCATATTACTGCATTACCTAGTATTAAAGATATTAAATATATATAATAGCTATTTAATATCTATTAAAGATTCAGCTAAGAATAAGTAAGATTAATATTATTTCTACTTTAATAACTAAATACTAGAAAATTATAGTCTTATCAATAAAGTTATAAAAGACTTTCTATTTAATATAAAACAGCTAGCTAATACTACTAAATTTCAAGATTAAACTAAGGATCAACTACTTCCTAAAAAATATAATTATTTTAAAAAGCTATTAGATTAAACTATTTCTAATTAATAATTATAGACTAATTCTACTTTTTAAATACAAGTCATATAAGATCCATATAAGATAATTAATAACCTAATAAATTTTCTTTAAGAATAAGCCTTTTATTAAATAATAGCCTAGTAATCTAATACTTAGTAAATAGAGCTACTACTAATTCTAATAACTACTATATCTTAAATTAAGCATATTTTAATTCCTTTCTATAATTAATCAAGATCAGTTAAAGACTTTATAATATATTTTAATTAGAGAGTTTTTAATAATATTAAGCATTTTATACCATTAGATAGTCACTTAAGAATTCTATTATCATTATAACACTAATATAATAATAAAGCAGGCAAACCCTTCAATATTAATATGATTAAGAATATACACAATAATACTGGCCATAATTGATGGTATCTAGGGAGTAATAAATATTATGGATAGGGAATAGATATATTATAATAATATTAGCCCCTATAACCTATATATGATGAGAGCATGCTATAATAAATTCTTGATACTATCTTTAGTTTATGGGATTAAATAGATTATCAAGGAGTATAAATTAATGAGATTCAGTGCTATAGTTAATTATATAGTTATTACTCTTTAGCCTTCTACTAGGTGAATTTGCTAGAAGTTAGAGAGCATTTTAAAGAGTTTAATAATAACTATAATAATATATATTCTAAATTGGATTAATATCCTGAATATCATAGTAATAACTAACAAATAGAATATAATAATAACATAGAGCGCAGAGGCTGTAGTCCTAGTACTTAATAGAAGTAGGACAAACTAGGATATTTTAACCTAGATCTTTTAAATAAGAAATATAGATTTAATTTAATTATTACTATAAATAATAGAATATATTATCAGGATATAAATATATTTATTAAAATTATTTAAATTATAGTATTAATTAAAGGGGACAGACTAGTATATATATATATGTACATCTTTTTCTGAGGGTTAGCTATAGAATAATACTATTAAGAGCTATTTATTATTAATTAAGAGAGATTATATGAAGAGGCTATTAATATAGATTAGATTTTATTTTTATTATATTATTTTTAACCTAATCTAGTTAAAGCTATTAAAATGCTCTCTAACCTAGTCTATATTAAGAAAGATATAATTAAAGGAAAGTTACTAATAATCTTTACTTAAAAAGTGATTTAAATATTAATAATATTAAGTACTGAATCTTAATAGAGTTAATTATTATTTATTTAGAATAAGCTTGCCTTAGAATATAAATATGATATTATATATCTAATATAAGTAATAACTTTATTAGATTAGATGAAAGTATTTAAGAAATAATATTTAATATAGTAAAAGATTAAAGATAATTAAGTAGTTTAAGCTATAAATTATTAGATAAGGTAATATATTAATGCTAGATATTATAATATATATTAAGACTAAGCTTGTAAACATTTATTAGACTATTAATCTAGATATTAATAATAAAACAAGGATTTATGAAATTTTAGGCATATATATAATAATTAGGATACCCTTAAAACAAGTAATTTATAGAATATACTTGTTAAGAATATAAATAGTTAGATATATGACTATAGTAGAAATAAGTGTAATTATTATAGAGTAAAAGGTAATCTTTAGGATTATAATATAAGGTTTAATTAATAAGAAGGCTATTATAATAATATATATTAGTTTGTTGATGATAATAAGTCTAATAAAGATAATTAGACTAATATTAATTTATAAATAAAACCTATCAAGAAGAAATCTAATAAGAAAAAAATTAGATTTAAAAGATATAATATTAATATTATTAAAATTTACTTCTATATATATGATTTAATTTTCTAATCTAATAATATATTATATAAATATTATGCTATAGAGGAATATATTTTAAAGTCTAAAGATAATAAAATACTTAGTTAAGTAAAGATTATAGATGCTAAAGATATACTAAATAATATTCTAATTAAAAAGTTCTTTTATAATTAGCACTATGTAAAAGCTAAGATATTTATTAAAAACTTAATAATCTCTAATATAATTTATCTAAACTCTAGTTATAGGTTTACTATAATTAATAAACAATTCCTTATAATATATATATTAAGAATTAAGATTAATTTTATAGAGAAACTATTACCTCTAACTGGTTTAGGAGAAGTGGATAGTATATGGAAGTCAGTTAGAATTTATATATATCTTCTAGATACTATTAGTAGAAAGAATATAGTTGTTAGGATTTATATAAAGGCTTATATTATTAAGAAGTTATTAGTTAATATATTAATTAGAATAAATTTACTTATTTATTATAATATTATAATAATTTTAATAGCATACTATCTATATATTATTATCTAAAGATATCATAATATATATATATTAGTGATTATATTATTAAAAATGATTAAAGCTTAATATATTGTTCTTAAAATAATATATATATAATAGTAAATAGTAATCTTAGCATGCTTAATAGTCTAAGTATTTATTTATATAAAGTTATAACTTTTAGATAATATTAACTTTATTTTTAAGCTATAGTATATAGAAGCAATTTTATATTTATT